GAATGCAGGCTGCTAGCTGATCACTGGAGGCTGGTGTGAGGATGAGGGCGGGTGTCCCTTGTTCCTACCAGGCATCCCTGGAGACTGCTGTATTTCCCATCCTTGATGGAAAATGAGTTTTATAAAGGCTGCATGGAGGAACCAAGAGTTTCCTTAATGACAATCCAGTAGGGAAAGTGAAAGGCCTCATTAGGACATACGCAGCCTCTAAGGGATCGGGATCCAGCAGCCGTGCCCGCGGCAAGGGCAGGCAGGGGCCAGAGGGAGAAGTGGGCACCAGGCCACCATTGCCTCGCCCTATCTCCTGTGTACCCAAGTGGTGAGTGAGTCCGGAAAGGAGCCAGGGTGGGGGCCCCACAATCCCAGGGCTCCTTATCAGGTACAGGATCCAAACCTAGCCCCACCCACCCTCCCGACCTCCACACCAGAGCCAAGTTTGAAGTGGTAGAATGCTCTGGGGATTCACTCTTGGTGTGTGTTGAGCTTTCTCTTGTGGAAGGCCTTGCAGCCTGGGACTTGAGTGAGGTTCCTGCAGATTTTCAACTTGGATGGAAATTGGGCTGTTTCTGAACAACTGCTACTAATTCTGAGAAGATATGGCTGCCCTGAGAGGCCTGCAAGTGAGCCTTCCGGGACCTCCTCAGCTGGAACTGCAGCTGGAGCCCCTGCCAGCCCCTGGAGGGGACAGCCTGGCTGAAGGCAGCCCAGGCTCTGGATAGCTGCTCCTGTCCATTCCTCGATTCAGGGGATTTTAGGGGTGTCTGGGACTTGACCTGGGCTTGTCTGAGTGGAAGAAAATACATGTCATTTGAGATGGTGACAGGGGCTGTTTTCCTCCCTTCTTTCTTCTGCCTCCTCCTTGCTCCCAGTCTCCCCTTGTGAGCTGGATGGCAGGGCAGTCACAGGCTTGGGGGTGAGTCCCAGCCTTTCATAAAGCACCATGCCTGACACAAGAGGGGCTGGAGTGGCTTGGGGAGGCAGTCCAGGCCCACTGGTGGCTTAGCAGCCTCGGCCCTGGAGCAACAGGTCCTACTGTAACACAGCAATAGGGTCATCCCACTGGGGGCCAGTACCTCCAGAGTTTGTAGGCTTAGATGGCACAGATTAACAAATTGATGTCATGTGCTAAAGAAGGGGATTATTCTGATCAGCATTTTTCCAAAGTGGGCTTTTCAAATACATATGATGTTCCATGGAGAAAAAGGGATAGGGGACCAAATATTTTAGGGAAATATGGAACATGTATTAGTCATGCAAATAAATGAAAAGGTGGAAAAGTCAAATCATCACAGGAACTCTTCCAGTCTTTCATAGAGAAAACAGGCAGTGTACTCCACGGGAGCCAAAGAGGCAGAATTCCCCACATGGATTTGACCATTGTCCTGAATAATCTCAAGGGATTATTGTTCCACAGGATACCATTTTGGGAAATGGCTCTACTGGCCCCTTTACTTAAGTCCCTTTTCAGCTCTAAAATGATTTGTGAAATCTTGAGACACAGGCTAGAACAGGGGAAATATGAAACTTAGAGGAAAAAGCTGCAAGAGGAAGATAGAGAAAGGATGAAATCCCTGAGACAGGAAATAGGGCTCAAGACAGGAGGTGGAGCCCTGAACAAAGCCTAGGCTGGAGGGGCTTCAGGGAGTGGATGATGGGGGAGCTGGGAGGAGAATAGTGGGGTAAGACATGCATGTGAAGAAGGTCACATGTGCGCATGCCTCCCAGTCTAAGGCATGCACCCACAATGCAGCTCAGCCAGTCCGTAGTGATGGGGACTTTGAGCAGAGTGAAGGGTTTCAGATTCCCTCAGACCAGGATGTTTGTGGAGAGAGAAGGGGGCAAAAGAAGGGGCCTTGCCCCAGAGCCAAGGTTGCAAGATGGCATTGTGAGGGCTAATCTGATCTGTCATGCCTCCTAGTCTATAGCAAGAAATTCAGGCCATCTCCCTAGGGAGCTGGGAATGTTCTCACTCCCATCTCTAAAGTGCCTGTGCTTCCTCCCACCTCCCTCTGGCACCAGTGGGTCATTCTTTAGGCAGAAAGGTGATGTCACTGGGGAGTGGGAGCCTGGTCAGGGGGCCTTCTGCAGAGTGCTCACTAGGCTAGACTCTGAGTCTTCCCCTCCTCCCCAGAAGCTGCAGCCCCCACAGCAGGCGCACCCCCAGGCATAAGTGCAATGGCTTTAATATATGTTGGTATGCAGTTTGGGATGAAGACAGGCGCCAGGCCAAGCGTTGCTATTACAAATGTGAATGTTGTTATTTTGAAAAAGGAGCAGAGCTGCCTCTGTGCTCAGCTGCCCTTTGCCAGCACTGAGGTTTTTTCCTGGCTCAAGATCCTCATCAAGTTCCAAGAACGTCAGTCAGTCTCTCAAGCCTGCAGGGCAGGGTTTTCCTAATTTACTGAGCAAATCCCAGCTTCATAGACAAAGCCCTATGACTTCTGTATTCCCGATGATACCCACCTCCTTTCCTTCTGGAAAATCCCACCCCTTGTGGCCTTCTCCCTCCTGGAATGATTGGGAGGGGTCTTCATTTCCAGCTCTTGAGGATGGCAATGGCCAATTCAGTACAGAAATGCACAGATATGATCAAGTTATAATCATGGTTGTTTAAAGTCACTTCATCCCATTCTGTGCAGGCTCTGTAGTAGAGAGCTTTGGGTTTCTGTCACCAGAAGGGAGACAAGGATGGCCATGACAGCAAAAATAACAATAGTCATTGTGAGAAGCATTCATTGAAGACAGAAAAACAATAAGGTCCATTTCAACATATGATTACAAAAATAGAATTTACACATATTCACACACGGAACGCATTTCCAGCACTTAATCACACACAGTACCATGGAAGGAGGGGATAAAGGTTGTTCCTATTTGTCTTAGTGCAGGTGGTCATCCTTTATGGTCTTGTGGCCCTTCTCTCTCCCTTTTACAGGATGATTTCCCCAGAGGACTCTGCTTGGAGCCTGCCAAGCCTAAGTCTAAAGGTCACTGAAGGCCTGGCCACTTCTTTCTGGCTTCCCTGGGAGCTGGTTGCACCTTGGGTAGCCTTTCCTGGATTCTTCCACCTCTCTGTACTCTCCCTCTTTCCTGACCATCTCCTTCTCCCACCTTCCTGCATCTCCCCACTTCTCTTGTCTGCTTTCACCTTGTTACATTGGCCAGGCAGGAAGGATTCTAACATGTTACCAGGCCACCTTCCATGCTTCTGGTTCGCTTACTGTACAGTCAACCAGGAGGAGCTTTGGAGGCCCAATGGCTGCTAACTAAAAGGTTGACCATTTGAACTCACCCAACTCCATGGGGGGAAAGACTTAGAGATCTGCTTCCATACAGATTACAGCCTGGAAAGCCTGGTAGGGCAATACGTCTGTCACATGGGGTCACTATGAGTTGCAGCCAACAACAATACAATCAAAGGGGAGAAGGAGGCTATTTCAGATCCTGAGGTGGCAAAGCCTAGGGGTGGGGGTGGGGGCAAGATAAAACAAAATACAGAGGCAGTCTGGGGTGAAGTTTCAGAGGGACAGAAAGCCCTGTCTTGCTTTTTAAAATCTTTTTTTTCACCTTTCTTCATTACGATTTTTTTTCACAGAGGGAATCTCAAATGCAATACCCTTATCTCCCTCCCGTAGGTTTTGTGCGTCACTAATTTGTTCATATGCCGGCTGGGAACAACTTTTCATTTCGTCCTCCTCCTTCTGCAGATGCAGAACTGCTGATGGCAAAAACACCTCCCCTCTGCGCTCAGGCAGATATCAACCTGGCGCTGAGCCTCACCTTCAACACCTAGCAGGAATTCCAGTTCTTAGCAGCTTTTTATTTTTTTGCAATTTTTTTCCCCATAAAAGAAAAAAGTCTTCATAAATGCGCCATGTATGTCCAACCCTTTTTTAGCAGAAACTGGAAATTCTAGGGCAGCAAACATCTGACCACCCTGTAAGCTCCTGAGCTAATTGGTAGGTAAACTCTTGAGTCCTGAGAACACTTCTCTTGCGTCCCTTAGCCTATCAGGAAGGTCTGCCACCCTCTCTCCATCTGTGGCCCTGGACTGCATCTTGCAGGGGCTCCATGTCCCAACCTTGCATTGTCCTGGGAGGTACATGTCCCCAGTTCCTCTCTAGTTCACAGAGGTGGGGGAGGATACTGTCCCAGAGCCAACCCTGCTCTGGTAACCATCATACATGGGAGTCCTGGGGAGATGCTAGTGGATAGGGGGTCCCATTAGGGCGTGTGGCCTTTGAGGAACCGTGGCCAGGCAGCTCAGAGCTTGGGGAAGGAAGTTAGACTGTAAGACCTCTCTCCCTCAATTATAAAGTAGGGTCTGAGGTCCAGAACACCCCCAGACTCCTAGAAGTTTATACTTGTGAGATTCTGAGATGGAGATGAGGTGGTATGCAGTGGCAGGGGACCAGCAAGTGTCAGGGCATAAAAGGGAGGGTCTCAATGTTCCACCTTCTCAACACCTCCATTTTCTCTCCCTGTGTTTTGTTTCCCTGTGGGCCTTCTTCCAGAGGGGTCCCACTTAGCCAGGCCCTTCTTTATGATGCTGGTTTGAAGGTGTCTTCTACCCTCCTCTGGCTGCCTGTGGGGCTTTTCCTAGACCCCTCCTCATATGTGCCCACTCTGGCACTGAGGGTCATTCTGAATGGCCATTGTTCTCCAGGCTGGGAAAGAACCACCCAGCCCTCTCCCTTCTGGGCACAACCGGAAATATGCTCCGGAAGTCAGACCATCTCTGCGAACAAATGGCAGAGCCCTTGGGACTGCCAGTGGCCAGAGGGTGCTGGCTTAGCCTGGGATAGAGAGCTCAGAGGGAACAGGGAAAAGACCTCATATACAGGGCCCCAGACTTTTCAGTGGGAGGCTGATAGGGGCGTGGGGGTAGACACACCAACCTCTAAGAGGCAGTTAGGGGTCCCTCAACCTCAGCTGGGTGGATGGGAGATGCTGGGGCTTTTGCTGTCCCTAACCCCCCGGCCACCCCTCCATGCCCTCCTCTATGTGGCCTCTACCTCCCGGGGTGTCCGGTTGCGCTCAGCTTGTGCCCAGCTCTTCACCTTCTTGCCCAGCTCCAGTCCTGCCCAGGCCTTGCCCTTGGTCTGTTTGCTCCGGCTCCGGGAGATACCCAAGCGCTCCCCATTGCCGCGACACCACACACGCTCACAGTATTCGTCCACCCGGGGCAGGTTGGCAAAGCCAATGAGCTGCAGGATATCCTTGTACCAGGCTTTGGATGGGGCAGGGACCAGGCCACCCCGAGCTGGGTGCGCCTCCTGCCTCAACTCCTGAGGGAACAGACTGTCCAGCTGTGTGGCTGCAATCACCTCCAGAGCTAGGCGGACCACAGTCTGGGAGAAGCCGTGCTCCAGTGTGGTACATGAGTAGGTACCGGCATCGAGACGGCTGAGCCTGCGGAATAGCAGCCCCTGGTCCGTTTGTACTACTCGCTCATCGGTCTTCACCTGCGGGACAGGAGGGCATGAGGGGCTGAGTGCAGGGCTGAGTGCAGACCAAGTTCACCATCTTCAGTCTTTGGGCCTTGCCCACTCTCCCCTTCCCAAGAGGAAACCAACAGTCTGTTTCCTGAAGCCCCTCTAGACTCTGAGCTCATTGGAGGTAAGAGTCTGACTTTCCATAGCTCTGGACGCCCCCCAAAAAAGCCTGCCATTGAGTAGGTTTCAACTCACAGTAACCTGTTGTTGTTACTGTTGTTGTTAAGTGCCATCGAGTCAATTTGACTCATGTGGTGATGGTTATATGCCGCGGAGTCAATTCCGACTCCAAGGTATAAGTCTTAATGGGAGCAGAAATTCTCATCTTTCTCTCACAGAACCACTGGTAATTTTGAACTGCTGACCTTGAGATTAGCAGTCCGACTTTGTAACCACTACACTACCAGAAAGACCCTGTATAGCGTTTCCAAGGAGCAGCTGCTGACTTTGAACCACCAGCCTGTGGTTAGCAGTCTAGTGGACAGAGTAGAACTACTCCTTAGAGGTTTTGAGACTATAACTCTTCACAGGAGCAGACAGCCTCATCTTTCTCCTGAGAAGCAACTGGTGGTTTGAACTGCTAACCTCGAGTTTAGCAGCCCAACACTTAACCCATTGTACCATCGGGGTTCTATAGCTCAGGACAGGACAGGGCCTGCAGACAGAAACATTTCAAAATCTGACTGACTGGTTTGTCTCTAATCACAGCTGTATACTGATCTTGGAGGGCCTGGTATACATTCCCAGGGTCACAGAGGGTATTTGTGGACTTTTACTCAGGGGAGGAGGCTTTTACCCTCCAACCACACACACACAGACACACAAAAAACCTGCCTGTCTTTGCCTACATCCTTCTCTTCCCATGGTGCCCATTACAGCATGGGAGGAGGGAAGAGGGTTCCTATCCAGCTCCTCTGTGGTTGGGATCTTCTGTGGACTTTGGTCTTGGCATGTGTGCACTGCAGGCTGCACTGCCTGGGCAGCAGAGTGCTGTGTAAATCCACCCTGCTGCTCCTTCCTCTGGGGACTTCTGGTGCCCAGATCAACAGCTGCTCCAAGGCTAACCTCCCCCAGTTCCCAAGCTGGAGGGAGAGCCCCTCCTGCAATCAACCCACTCTCTCCCCTCCCCTGCACGTGGGAGCAGCTCCCTCCCACGCCCATCTTCAGGCCCCAGACTGAAGCCATCTCTGGAATTGACCGATCTTTCCGGAGGGGGGAAAAGAGGGCCTGGGCAGACAGCTGGACTCCAGAGAGGAAGTGTGGGCCAGGCATGTGTATATGCTGAGGTGGGGGGAGGTAGAGGGACAAGGGACTGTAGTCAGGGGCCCAGTCCTAGAGCTGACGAGGACCAAGACTCTTTCAAAGATGAGCCAAGTGTGAAAGCATGGGTAGGGGCTTCCTACCACTTCAGACCCAGTTTTGTGTCCTCCATCTCTGCTAACTCTACCCATGTCTCAGAGCTCAGCTCTGTGCCCTGGAAAGTAGTGAGCTTCCGTCCCTGGAGGGATTCCAGTCCCCTCTGGTCTAGGCATTTCCAGGTGGCAAGAAGGGGGACATCTCCTTTGAGATACCTCAAGGATCTAGTAGACATTTTTCCTTGGTTGAGTTTGACAAGTCCCCTCAAGAGCCCTCTGCTAGAGCTCAGGACTTGGGGTCTCAGGGAGCATGTCCTCAGGAGGTATGCAGGCTGGAGGTGGGGTTCTTGCTCACCTGGTCATTGCCTTGTTCCCCTGGCCTCTTCAGGAACCAGCGCACAGCAGCCTGGGGAGACTTGGGCTGGCACTCCAGAAAGGTACTGTTGTGCTCGGTGCCGTAGACCCTGGTGGCCACCATGTGCCCTGCAGCCTCCCCTGGAGAGAAGCAGAGGTTGGCTCAGCTTCGGAACAAGGGGACCCAGGCCCCGGGTGCCACAAATGGATTCCTACCACTTAGAAGCCCCCACCTATGTGACAGGGATCTTGGCGTCCATCAGTCCCCAAGCTAGTCATTCTGTCTGAAGACCCTTTACTCATGCACTGACAGCAAGTGCACAGATAGGGAAACTGAGGACTGTTTATTACAACAGAACTCCTGAGGCCACACTTTAGAGGTCTGCAAGCCTGGGACATCAGAGCCCAGTTTCCTCTCCCCTAATATGAGTGGTGTCCTCCCCACCCCCTACCCACACCAGCTACCACTCACCTTCCAAGCCCTGACCCAGGCACTGTAGGGCAGGGTTGCCATGTCGGATGTCCTGTCGGCGGAAGCGACGCTTGCTGGTGCCAGGCCGGTACTGGGTACAGGAGGCACCGTCCCAGGCGCAGTAGGGATCCCGGGCCAGGCAGCATTCAGCACAGGCACTACCATAGGTCTTGCATTGGTGCAACCGTAACCGGGCCACGCCCAGCCTTGAGCCCACATAAAGCATTTGCTGGTGAGGGACAGAGAGAGAGCTCATGGGAACCTGCACATCACCTGTGCCTACAAGATCACATCACCTGTGCAGCCAAGATCTCAGCCTCCTCAAGTTTCTGGAGACCTCTGCCACTTGCAAACCCTTTTGAATTTAGCCAGAGAGCCAACAAGTACCAGGTGCCATGTCCTGAGGGGACATCCTCGGAAGGGATGAGGCAGCCCTGGTGTCTGTCCTCCAAGGGGTGTCTCCAGGTATACCCTGCACTCACACCTGTCCGAGCAGAGAGGTGACCTTTGCTCTCTGTCCCATGACCTTTAATCCTCGTGGCTTCACAGGTGCAGCCTGTTCTAAGCAATCCAATTGCTAAAGTCAGGATTAGTTCAAGATAAATTGGGGCAGAAGAACTTGGGATAAGAGTACTCGCCCCTACACCATAGACTTCTAAAGAGCAAGCTCCCCAGTTTGATTTAAAATTGGATTTTGTTTTCTAGCCTGTTATTGCCTCTCCTGAGGGACTAGCCTATGGGCCTCTCCATCCTCAGCCTCAGCATCTCCCCTCCTTCCCCTCCCACAGCTTGTGGGCCTTATGCACAGACTCTGGGCCCTCACTGAAGACAGCCTGTGTTCTGGGAGGCTGAGGGACAGGAAGGGAGGGTGCCAAGGGTGCAGGGGTTGGGAGGGAGTATTGGGGCAGGTGCCCCTCTTACCCTTTTGACAGAGATCTCCATCTCAGTGATGGGTGTTGGTACCTGGGGGGGGGGAAGCAGGGTCTCAGCATGGTTCGTCCCCTGCTCTGAGCCCCTGCCACCCATCTCCCAGCCTGGCTCAGTCACACTGTGGCAACTAAGGCTGGCCTCCTCACATGTCAGGTTTATGAGACGGGTCCTTCACCCTGGCTGGCCCCTAAGCAGGCAGTTTGATGAAAAGCACAAAGCTCTGCTGTTTCCCCCCATAGCTCTGTCCCCAGCAATGAGGAAGCTGTTCTAAATTGCCCATCCATGCATAGGGTCACACCAACAGTCCCCCAACACACAGATACCGCTTTATTTTATTTGCAGTGGGGCCAATATGATGTCTTGGGGGCTTGAAGACTGCACCACTACCTCCCTGAGACTTGAGGGGTGCTCACCTTAGCCATTTCTCCCTGGGAACCCCAGCTTTAAACTCCCAGGCTTCCTGCCCAGGCCCCATAGTAGTACGTGCCGGCATTTCCATCCCCCACATAGAGACAGGACTTAGCCCCTCCTGAACCTCACCACTGCTTCCCTGTGGTCAGCCCCCTGCTCACCTTAAATACCTGGAGCTCCTCCAGCACCACCTCCTCAGGCTCAGCAGAACCCATGGCCTGGAGGACGATGACCTTGAGCACAGAACCTGAATCTGGGCAGGGGAGAGGAGGTCAGACGGAGGGGAAGGGACAGGCTGGGTCTCACATCTGGCAGCCTGGCCACCCCTCACTCAGGCCACCCACCGGTGCCCAGGAAGATGACATCGTAGGCTCCATCCTCTGCCTCTACGCGGTCCACCACGATCTGGCGAAGCTGCTGAGCCAGGTGGGTCTTGACAAGGATGGGCCGGCCCTGTTGGGGCCTCACAGGCCGGAACATGAGTGGGTGGGCTCTGGCAAACTGCAGCACTTCATCCGGGTAGTCCTTGGTGCTGCCAAAGAGCCGTCCTGGCTGCGCCGTCATCTTGCTGGGGCACTATGGGCATGGCAAGAGCATGGCTGAGTATCCTGAGTCACTGGTCTCTACCTGTGTCCACCACTGCCAACTTCCAGAGGGATGCCCTCACTGCACAGAAGCTCCTTAACGGGGTTTAATGCTGCCTCCTCCTCCACACCAGGCCTCCGGAATCCCAGCTCACATGGACACAGGACTCTTTCAAGGAAATGTCCTCACTGACGTAAGCCCAGTGCCCCATTCCCTGGCCAGGCTCCCAGCAGGTACTCACCACACCCGGGCGGGGAAAGGGCACCTTGCCCACATAGGGGCCCCACTGGTGTTGGGGACCGTCCCGGTGGGCAAAGGGTCCATTGAAGACCTCCCAGATATCAGCCATGTGGTATACACAGATAGCGAAGCCCTGAAATACAGTGCTGCCGGGAGCAGACAGAGACAGTCAGGCCAGGGTGGCTGTCACACACAGGACTGCACAGACAGGTCAGAGATGACAATGGTTACAGTCAGCAAGGACTCCAAAAGACAAGGACACCAAGGCAAAGAGCAGGACACAGAGAATATAGCCATAGAGTCACCAAATCAAAGACAAAGACAGCGACCCATCTTAAGACTGGAACATGAAGGCAGAGGTTCAACAGAGGGGAGGATACAGGGAAGGCAGGGCTGCCCACCTGACTGTACTGAACAGCGCATACACCTCTGGACTCTTCCCCGACTTCGGCCATAACAGGAACACATCCTCTGGGAGACATAGGGAAGGATATCACAGCCACCACCACTGCCCCCCATGGCCCTGAGCCCTCCCCTCCAGCACCCAGCCCTGCCCCTGCCTGCTACATCCTTACCCAGCTGGTGGAAGTGAGTCTCAGCACCACCTGGGCCAGGCACTGAACAGACCAGCGTGGCCTTGAGGAAAGTGCTCCATTTGTTCACAAGCACCCGCTGCCCACCGGCGTCGTTCTGGTCTCAGGTACAAGGGTGGGAGAAACAGTCAGCTGTGGGGGTCTCCCGCTCCTCCACCCTCACCCATGGGCTTCATACCCCAGCCTCAGCTTCCCTACTGTGGAGGTGGGCAATCCCAGTTCCAGTTCTCACCACGCAGACTCTGCCCACGCGGCTGACAGTGACGCGGCCTGGGCCACCATCAGGCGAAGGTACTGTCTCAGAGAAGAAGAAGTACACCTTATCGTTGTCCTGGTCGGAGTTGTCAGGGATCCGCGCAGCTGCCACAAACCGGGGATCTGGAAGGGGAACACGATGAAGCTAGGAGGAGGGGCCTGGTGTGGAGGAGGAGGTTAGGGACCCCTACAAGGAACTGCAGTCTCAGGGCACAGGGTGCGTACAGGCCACTTGGGCTCACCATGCAGGAGACTCTGGTCGGAGTCAGAACGCAAGGCTGGCCGGGAACCCCCACTTCGGAAGATCATGGCCTCGCGCCCCAGGAAGTCAGCAATAAGGCCAGTGTAGAGCTCACCACCTGCAGGGGAAGGGGAAGCAAAGTTAGGAGAGGACACAGGCCAGTGCCCTCCCTTCCAGCACCCACCTAACCTGGGTATCACCCTGTCACCCACCTACAAAGGTGCTGGCAAAGGGACGGCTAGGCTCATGTGGGCACCGACCACGCCCACCTTGCAGGGTGCCAGGCTCCAGGTGGAGTACATGCTGTGGGGGCAGGAAGGGACAGAGGGAAGGGTGTCGCCTGTGAAGAAATGCCACACACACACACACAAATATGTGTGGGCATGGGCGCACATCCGGGCTTCACCATTGTGTGCAGTTGGAGAGT